CGTGCTTCCCCCCACCCTGTGCATGCCCCCTCCAGCCCCAGGGGGAGCTGGGACCCCGGCAGCCTTGGGGCCATGCATCCCCTCCACCCCTTGCCTGCAGGTGTGGGGCCCAGCAGGGGGCAGGTACTGGGGGCAGGGGCCAGCTGTGCCTGGGCGCATGCCATTGAAAACTCCTGGTGTGAGGGGCTCAGCAACCTGCCGCTCCCCCCCCCCATGTCCCCCCTCCCAGCAGGGATGCAGCTGACCCTGGATATGGGGCTGGAGGGGATCTACACTGCACCCGCACCAGGCTTCATCCCCATTGGCCCCAGTGGGCACCAGCAGGGTGCTGGGGGGGGCAGGAACAGCCCTTGCCCCTGGCCGAGGCAAGGTGCCAGCTCCAGCCTGCATGGCGCATGGGACAGCTACCAGCCATGTCCTGTGGTGGCTGCACTGGGAAGGGCTGCAGACTGGGGTCCCGGTGAGAAACAAACCCCCTGAGCAAGGGCCCTGGTGCCTAGGCTGACCCCCCACGAGGCAGGGCAGGGGGCAGGGATTGGGCCCACAGAAGTGGTCTGGCCTTGAAGTTGGCCGTGGGGTGTGGATGGGGCACTGGCGGGGCATGCCGGCTCCGGGGCAAGGACCTGTTCCCAGAAGCCCTGGGAGAGCGCCACGTTCCAGCAGTAATTGTGGCTCCCCTGCTGCCAAATTTCTGGATCCGCGGGAGCCCCTGTGGACTGGCTGACATGGTCCTGGACATGGGATGTGGCTGCATGTGTTATTGGCCCGGCACGCACTGCCAGCCATCACTCCTGATCACACACACGTGCTGGGGGCAGCCTGTGGACAGGCCCTGCAGGGCTCATCCAGAAGGTTGAGCACCGCTGCTCTGGACTGTGTGTGAAGTGTGCTGAGCTGTCTTGGAGAGCTAGCTCAGCATTTCAGTGCCTAGCTGTCTGTGATGGTCTGGTGCTGACAGAGGAATCATGGAAAGCAAAATGCCAGTAGCGTGGCACTGAGCTGCTCACCCCAGGCGCAAAACCCCAGAAAAGCCTAGGGATCTTTGAAACAGGAGGTTCTTCCCCCAGACTTGAATGCCTCTTCACAAGCTAGGGAGCAGGGGAGGCCCAAGGTCCTCTGAGCCAGATCTGTACTGCGGTGGCCGGGAGCCTGCATGGCATTGACTCTATCAGCGTGTGGCTGGGGTTAGGCCATGAAGTGTCTTGCTGCTGTCACTGCTGCCAGTGTTACCAAGGGCCACTTGCAGAAAGACTCATCTCAGCGTTGTGTTGCCTGTTGTCGGTCTCGGGATAGAGTTCAGCATCTCTGCTTGCCCCTCTCCTTTCTGCCGGCAGATTGTACACTGCCAAGGCTGACATATGAAGTCCTCCTGCCTTGGGAGAACCAAAGACAACTCACTGCAGTCATCACAGAGATCTGGTTTTAAGTCTTTAAGTTCGCCCCATTTTGTGTGTTAGTCAAGGGGGCTGGAAGGGAGAGGCCAGAAAGGCACCCTGCTAGAGTTAGGAGTAGGGTGGCAGGACTCAGCAAGGGAGGCTGCAGGACAGGAGTGGTGGATGTCAGTAGAGCTGGATGGGGGTGGTTTCTTTGTTCTGTAGATTTCTCCCTCCCTCCTCCCTGCTTTGTCTGGGACCTGTGATCAGCAGGGATCTGGGTTTCCCTTCACCACAGAAAAACGCAGTAAAGCTTGGATTTTCTCCTTTTAAGGAAAAAAGCCCAGGTTTTCTCCTTTAAAGGAGAAAAACGCAGGAAATGCCAGGTTTTCCCTTGCAGGCTGGCAGAGTTCCAGCATGCAAGAAGCTGGGGGGAGCGGGAGCAGGGCAGTCAGGCAGGGGGCACCATGCACGTGTGCACACCTACACGTGCACATGGCTGCCAGGCAGCCTGGAGAGCAGCTCCCACAGGTAAGTCGGGGCAGGGGGAGTAATTGAGGCCCCCATAGCGAAGGAGAGAGTTGGGCTGGGGCTGCTGCCCAGCCGGATAGTGCATGGGGCTTGGGGCCTGGGGCAATGCATAGCCTCAAAGCCCGGGCAGGAAGTGGGACAGAGCCACGGGCGGCTCATCCAGTGGAGTGGGCTGGTTCCCCGCCACTGTGCACGTTCTCAGGGGGAGCATGGGGAGCATATGCCCCCCAGATTTGCGTGCAGGGTGGAGGTGGGCCACCTGCTGCAAGCTCAGGCTCAGGCTCCCTGCCCAGCAGGTGGGACCCGGTGCGGCAGGGAAGAGCAGGTCAGGGAAGTTCGGTACTGCCACTGCGAGCCCTGTGCTGCCATGGCGAGGTGCCCCCTACCCACCCGGGGGTGGTGGTGCGGAGTTGTGCCCCCTGCTGCTGCCAGGTGGGCAGGGGGCACCTCTCTATGGCAGTGGAGGGCTCACAGTCTCCCTGCCCTGCTCTGTCCTGTTGCCCCAGGTCCCAGTGGGGAGTGAGGGGCACCAGTAGGGGTGGGGGAGTGAGGGGCACTGGCAGGGCCGGGGGGAGTGAGGAGCCTGGACTTGTATTGGTAAGTAGCTGGGGCAGGGGTAGCTGTGATTTTTCCATGATAAAAAACCCAAAATCAAACACCAAAATTTATAGGTATTTAGAATTTATTTTATTGTAATGACTGAAAAACTGGCAGGGTTCCAAATTGCTTTAAAATTGTAAATATATCAGTAAAACTTTGTGTTCAGCTGATACCTGTGTATAGTGGTGTGTCATTTTAATCATGGATTTAGGGTTTTTTAATTAGAGAATTTGCAAAGTGTGGTTTTATCAGAGAATTTGCAATTTTTAAACAGAGAAAACCAGGATCCCTGTTAATCAGGGTGGAGTTGGGCTAGGGGAAGGGGTATTCTAAATCTGTCAGCCAGGGCCTAAATTGTGATGTGCCAGAAGCCGAAGGGGGAGGACAGGGAAGTGGGAAGGGAGGGCTATGTCCCACCCAGGTTCTGGGATAGCATGTTTGAGAGTGACCCTCCTGTGTTAGGGGGAACAGTAGCCGAGTTTGTGATCCAGATTTCCTGGCTGTTCTGCAGGCCTGAGACTATGAAAGCTCCTTTCATCCCTGGCAAGAGCGAGTGTGCTGCCTGCTTGTTGCATAGTGCTACCTGTAACACTAGCTCCCTGTTCGAGTGACGCTGGAGGAGGGAGGAACTTGACGCACAGAACCAGCTCATGGGGCCACAAAGCAATTAGCCGTGGAGGGGGAGAGAGCGCCATTGTCCAGCTGCTGTGGGCCTGGGATAGCAGAGCTGTTTCTTTTCCACAGTGGCTCAAATGGGGCCAGGGAGGCCTCAGCAGATGCTGTCCCAGTCACCAAACCATGAGTCCTCTCACCTATTCTGGCCATCTGTACAGGCTCCCCCAGCTCCAGGAAAGGCAAATGCCTCCAGCTCTCTCCCTGACACCCCTTGTATCCTCAGTACAGCTGCCTTGCCAACCCCAAAACCCCCGTTTCCCTCCTCCCCCCATCTATAGAGCACTGCCCCCCACTTGCTGCTGATAAATCTAGTTTAAATGTGACTTCTTGAAGCAGGGAGTGGGGGAACCATACCAGCCGCCTTGCTTCCCCCAACATACCAGGGTCACTATGGTTGCTGAGCACTTGGCTTTTGGGGGGAGGGGTACAAATACATCAAATGTGTGTGGGGAGGAGGTTGGGGGATGCAGCTTTCAGCGCAGAAGTCCACGTGGGATTAACATACAAGGACGCCCTGTGTCCCCCCTGTGGCAGGAAGCCCTAGTGGTTTAGAGGGGTGGTGCTGAGTCAACAATGCCACAGATAACACGGTGAAAGCCAGGCACGGACAGAAATGTTCCCAGGCCCCTTTTACCCTCAAACACCAGGCCAGTTGAACCCTGCACCCACTCTGATGCCAAGACCTTGTTCTTGCTGGGCCTGGTGGCACATGAGAATGGGGCAGTGAAACTGGCCCTGGAGCAAAACAGCAGCTTCTGCTTGTCTCTGGGTTGGGCATTTCTGAAGTTTTAGTCATGTGAGAGAGAGAGAGAGATGTGTGTGCATGTTCTCTCTGGGCAAGGGCTCTGGGTGGTGGGGAATCTGCCCAACAGGGACACGCCCCCAGGTCCTGACAGGCATGGGACATGGTTGATGATGCAGGGAGGGGGAAGAGTGGTGGGATGTTGAAGGCACATTTGTTTCCTATCTTAATACTCTGTTTCTGGTTTCAGGTTGCCAGGGGTTAGATCAGGGCTGGCCAAGAACAGTGTGAAGGAGAACTGCAGATGTGATAGCTGGAGGCACACTCTGGGTGGTATCCTCAAGGGCATTAATTCATTTTTGGAGCCCTCCTTGTGCGGGTCACTTGGGACATTCAGAACAAGTGAGTCCCTGGCCGCCAGATACAGAACCCAGGCAGGCAGCCTGACTCCCAGTGCCCTGCTTCAATGCTATGGGCTGATCAGAGCCCCTTCCCCCTGCCATGAGAGAGGGTGCTGCCCGACAGCACTGTGTGTACAGAGAGTTATTGTGGGGCAACAGCATCCTTTGCCCTTGCTGACCCACAGCCATCATTTGCTCCCCACTCTTCTACCTTTAGTGAATTGCTGTCCCTGGAGGTGAGTAGAAGCTGACGGGGACTCTAGGCCTTTCCTGAGGAGAGAAGTCCTGCTAGTGCTTCTGGGTGCCTGCTGTGCTAGCAGGAGCAGCTCTCTGGCTAATCTAAGGGTGTGTTAATCCCTGGTGCTCCAGAGGAAAGTGGTGATAAGAGCCCCACCACTGTTGAAGGTGTCTGGCTAGAAGGGTGAGCCCATGTGATTTCCACTTGGCTCTCGGGAGCATCCTTGCATGTTCTCAGGGGCACGTCCTGTTCCTACCCAGCAAGGTCAACCCCCATCTTGCCACCCCCCTGCCATTCTCTTCCGTGCCTGGCAGCGTTTCAGCCTGTCCAGCGCGCTCTACCCGCCTGTCACCTGTGGCGCAGGAGGTGTGAAGGGAACTACCCGTTGTTTTGCAGGAAGGTCGCTCTGGTCCGGATGCTGAAATATGAGCTGCAGGGCAAGAGCTGCTGTTCCTATTTTATAGCTTTTCCCCTCCCCCTGAGTAAAGATTTTGGCTGGCAATTAAGCATGTCCCAGTAAGATTTCCAAGGAGAGACAGCAGTTGGAGCTGTGTCCTGTGTAAAACTATCATCAGCACCAGGGTCTGACACCCCCTGGGACACCCAGAGCACCTGGGAAATTAGGGCTGCAAACACCCTGGGTTACAGGCCAGAGCTGATAACTTTGTCAAGGGTAGTTGTTTCTCCTCTGCCCCTGATCCTGCAGGTGCTTTACAAGCCACCTGAACTGGAACTGCTGCGGTCACCTCTGGGCAGGATGCCACCACGGCTGTTTGACTGCTACCAGAAGAGAAAGGGAGGAGGCTTCTGTTGTCTGGTGGAGAGTGAGGAGGCTCACTGAGATTGTCTAACATGGCACCTGGCCAGGGCACTCCCCATACTTAGTGCAGTTTCCTGTCCTGTCCCCTCCTGACTCACCCTAGCCAGTTGATCTGAAAGCCCCAATCATGGAGATGCACCTGAGCAGTTCAGAGAGGGGTGGAGCAGTTCTCAGCTCCCAACCAGGCAATGGGCTGCCTATGCCACCCTGAAAGGACCTTAGTTCTGTGAGTGATTGGAAAGGGCTTTGCTGCTGTGCCTGAGGGCTCCATCCTACTTGGGGAGCGAGGGCTGGAGTCCCTTGTGCTGCCGGTATGCTGTGGCACGTTTCTATCGCTGCTGCCCAGGCCAGGGTAGCACCACCTCCTGCCCCCACCCCAGGGCTCACTCTCTGGATTTCCTTCTCTCGGTAGGTTGTACCTGGCTGTCATGCTAGCTGCTCTTCCACCCATGGCTGCCAGTGAAGCAGTACCAGCTGCCCTGCAGGACACATGGGGGGACTTCTGGCTGTTCCGTTTCTTCATCAATGCTGCTGGCTATGCAAGCATCCTGGTGCCGGGGTACCTGCTCATCCAGTACTTCAAGCGAAAGAATTACCTGGAGACAGGTAAGAGGGGATAACGCACTTCAGTTCTACTCCTGTTTTCTGGCCTTGTTTGGCCTGGACATGCCTCTGTCAATGCACCTTGGTCCTGACCCACAGGTCTAGGTCCCTCTACACCTAGGCTAATAAGGGACTGTTCAGAGACAGCCAAACTCATCTAGATCATCTCAGCTGCCTTATCTCAACCACGACAGCTATGGCTGTTTCCTGTTAGATAGCCTGGAATCCATCAGAGGCAGCCCAGGGCAGCATGGGTAATGGGTTTATCCTTCAGACCTGCAAGCATGTGGGCTCTTCTGGCTCAGCTCCTCTCAACTCAGATTAGGGTGTTTGGTTGGGCAGGACTTTGGTTGAGGTGCCTCAGACTGCCACAGATCCTGTTATGAAACTCCAGGTGGGGTAGTACAGGGGCTGACACTTGTAGATACTCCGAAGTCAGGGCAGAGTGGCATCTTATAGCCTAAGTGATTTAGCAAGGCATAACCTGGAGTGAGTGAGGTGTGCCGGTGCTCCTGCTGGGACCACAGCCTGAGGTTCCTGGCTGGAGGATCTTGCCCCTCCACTCTGGGTCAGACTGATCACCATATTTGGGGTCAGGAAGGAATTTTATCCCATGGTCAGATTGGTGAGTGTTTTTGCCTTCCTCTGGTGCAGGGGGGCATGGCCCTCACCCTGGGATTACTTGAGCAAATATTGACAACCTTTTGTAGAAGTAGATGGGGGTGTTATGTCTGTTTTGTGTCGGGGTTGACCGTAGTCTTACGTAGAGTTTAGATTATAGATTTTATAGGATGGTTTGGATCAGGATGATCCTGCCTCAGGCAGGGGTTGGATTAGATGACCTCTGGAGGTCCCTTCCAGCCTGGCTTCTCTGTGATTCTAAGCTTTCATAAGCAGTAGCTAACTTGTATTTAAATTACCGCTGTGTATTTAGAGCCTCTGCTGCCTGCAGGTCTATTCATACCATCTGATGAATCAAGCTGCTGTTTACGAAAGCTTATGTGTTGGCTACAGATGTCCAACTCGGGATCCTTAAAATTCTGGTTTATTAGGCGGATTGAAACACTGTAATGAGTTAAATCATAAACCTTGGGGCTGGTCCTTACACACACACACACACACACACACACACACACACTCTACAAGAGTCAGGTATACCTATCCCACAGGCGCTGGAGTCTGTCGTTGAAGCTTTTTTCAGCGTGGTGTTATCTTCCAGAAGGGGGTCGCCAGCTGGTCCTTCTGGCTGGACAGGTCGGGTGCTGGTCAAGTTGGGGGTCACTTTTCACTGCTTTTTATCTGTCCTTGGCAGACTTTGGTGACTCCCCAGTTTTCAGGTTTGCCCAATCCAGGGGTCGTTGGCCCTCATGGGCCTTCCCCCCCTCGGTGGCTACTGGATGGCATCTGTCAGCCCCAGGGGTCGTCCGCATGTAGTTTAGAGATTTCCCGGTTATTACATTGTCTTCTATTGAGTTCTTCCGTTGGTTGATCTGCAGTTTCCCAGGTGTTAATAGCTGTCTGCTACTGTGTTACACATTCAATCACTGATTCACTCCCTCTTTCAGGGGCCAGCCTGATACAGGGAAGGGCAGTTTGATTCCTGCCCTTGTTAACATTGTTACAATGTATAATTTACTTATGAAACTAAACACATTTAGTTGAAAGGTGAGGAGTATAAAATATAAGCTACAAAAGTAATGCCATGGCACAAATAGATAAAAATACCAAAATACAAGGGGAGATACAAAATGCACGCCTACAAATTTCAAAACACAATTCCTTATCTTAAAGTGAAAGAAAGAGGAAGGAAGAAAAGGTAGAAGAGGAAAAACATATCCAAGGAGGGGAGAGCAACTGCAGGCAAGAGGAAAAGGGGCTTTCTGCTACATATGCTTCTCTGAATTAATTAGTCTCTGAGGTGCTACTCTGCCCTACTTTCTGACTGACTTCAGGCTAACACAGCTATGCTTCTGTCAGGTAGACGCTGTTAACAGCTGTCCGACTTTCTTCTATCCAGTGTTAATTGTGGCTTGTGCCCCCCTGGCCCTAACCAGGCTAACACTATCTCTGGTTCTCTTGCTCCTCCAGGCCGTGGCATTTGCTTTCCTGTCATTAAGTCATGTGTCTTCGGTAGCGAGGCCAAGTCTGCACACCAAGATGACATCCCTTTAGCTGCCCGAAGTGAGCCCATGGAGTCCTCAACAGCCCGACAAGTCTTCAAGCTGCTCTTCTGTGCTGTTGGCCTCCAGGTAGAGACTGAGCATGTTTGTAGCCACTTTCTGTGTGTTGTGGGGGTGGGGAGAGCAAGAGGATAGAGGGATAGAGAACAGGACCTGATATGCAGGCAGCTGGTTTGTAGCCTCCAGAGAGAAGGCATCTCAATGTCTGGGACTCTAATTGATTTGGGCTGTGCCTGGTTGCATTGTATGCTGGGACATGCAGACTGTAAAGGCAGCAGCAATCCACTCATTTTTCATGTGCTCTCAGCTGGTAACCTTCTGATCCTTTGCATTACAATAAGCCAGCATCTGCTGGGCTGGAAACTTGTCCAGTTGGTGCCCTCTGTGGATCCAGATGGATGAATTCCTGCAGGGCACAATTGATGTTTAAAGTAGTGGCTGCTCTGGTCTGCACTGGGTATTGGGGCAGCCTGCCTTTTGACTTGCTGTTCTCACAAGCACTGAGAGTCCCGACTGCCCCAAGGGCAGGAATGTGTTGAAGCAGAGGCTCTCCCCTTAGGGAGATTTAATTTGGTAATAGAAAAATCCCTCCAGTGTTGGAATCTAGCTGCAGTGAGGAGGACACATTGGGCCCCACAGCTTTGAGCTACAGCTACACTGTAAGTGCATGAAAGGCAGGCCAGAGTGAGGGAAGGTTGGTTTTTGGAAATGAAGGCATTGGACTGGGCCTCAGGAGAGTGCAGTTTGTTTCCTGGGTCTGACACTGCCTTGCTGTGTCACCTCGATCAGGTCGCTGAATGTCTGTAACTCAGGCCCTGTCCTGTGGGAGGTGGAGACACGTGGATGTCTCCATCAGTGTCTGAGGAGCTCGGGTACCGTGGCAGCGGGGCTGTGTAAGTACTTGTGCAGATGAGCCTGCCCTGATGGCAGGTCTCTCTGTGCTGGGTTAGAACAGAGTTGTCACTGATGGGAGAAAGGGCTTAGGGAATGACTATGAAAAATTGTTTATACAATGCAGGGGCCGCAGTGTTGAATGCCAGGAACCCCTAGAGCAGAGTTTCTCCTGGCAGCAGGTTCCAGGCCGTGTCCTTGTCATATTCTCTGTTCCAGTTTTTCTGGTTCAACAGACAGAGTAATACCTAACTACGTGTCTTGTAAAGAGCATTCAATCTGAGCAGGGTTGATGGGGCTGCAGGAATGTGTGCTTTGCTGTTTCCTTTTCTTTCTGTTTGAGTTTGTGGCTGACACCTAGAGCCAGATGTTTTTTTGTGAGGTATTAACTGTAAGGGGAGCTTGGGGGCTGCCCAGATCTGTGTGTGATGAAGTGCCACACACTGTGCCCTCTGTGTGTAACTGGTGGGAGCGGTGGTGCTGTGGGAGTGAGGAGGGAGCCAGCTGGGCTGGCCATTTCTCAGAGTCTGTAGTCTAGTGCTGGTGCTGGTGGGGATTGTCCCGTGGTTCCAGGCTACTGTGTGTCCCTGTCCTCTGCTGGTTGGAAGTGGGGAGGCATTTGGGCAGGTCTGTACCTTCCTGAGCATGAGGCTGCCAGCTACCCCTGCTCCTCCTCACTTTTCTGCTTCTCCTCCCCTCTACAGGTCTCCTACCTGACATGGGGTGTTCTCCAGGAGCGTGTCATGACCCGGACGTATGGGACCACGGAGACGGAGCCAGGTGAGAAGTTTAAGGACTCGCAGTTCCTGGTCTTTATGAACCGGATCCTGGCCTTCACTGTGGCTGGCCTGTACTGTGCCCTGACCAAGCAGCCACGCCACGGCGCCCCCATGTTCAAGTACTCCTTTGCCTCGCTCTCCAACATCCTCAGCAGCTGGTGCCAGTACGAAGCCCTCAAGTACATCAGCTTCCCCACCCAGGTGCTGGCCAAGGCCTCCAAGGTGATCCCAGTCATGCTCATGGGCAAGCTGGTATCACGCAAGAGCTACGAGTACTGGGAGTACCTCACAGCTGCGCTCATCTCGGTGGGGGTCAGCATGTTCCTTCTCTCCAGCGCCCCCAATAAGCATCTCTCCACTGTCACAACCTTCTCGGGCCTGGTCCTGCTGGCTGGCTACATTGTGTTTGACAGCTTCACCTCCAACTGGCAGGATGCTCTCTTCACCTACAAGATGTCCCCCGTGCAGATGATGTTCGGGGTGAATGTCTTCTCCTGCCTCTTCACCATGGGCTCGCTCCTGGAACAGGGTGCCTTGGTGGAGTCGGCCCGCTTCATGGCCCGTCACTCGGAGTTCACAGTCCACGCTGTGCTGCTCTCAGTCTGCTCTGCCTGTGGCCAGCTCTTCATCTTCTACACCATCAGCCAGTTTGGGGCGGCCGTCTTCACCATCATCATGACCCTGCGCCAGGCCTTTGCTATCCTCCTCTCCTGCCTCATCTACGGCCATGCTGTCACTGTGGTGGGCGGTCTGGGTGTGGCCGTTGTCTTTGTGGCTCTCTTCCTGCGGGTCTATGCCCGCAGCCGCATGAAGAAGCGCAGCAAGAAGCTGCCCCCTGGCGATGCACCCATACAGAAGGTCTAGGGGCTGCGGTGCAGACCATGCTCTTGCCCCCCTCCTCCCCTCCCCCGTGCCATCTCCAATGCACTCACTTTATTTGTCTCCTCTTCAGGAACCTACGGAGAGGCAGGGCAGGGAGTTGGTGACTCTCTTTTTCCTTCCAGCAGCTTTTCCTTGAGAAGGAGCTGGAGTGGGCCCAGCAGCAACAAGATGCACTTACAGCTGCTGTGGCATCTTTCTCCGTTTGCCTTAAATAGGTCTGAGAATTTCAGCCCCTGCCCCACCCCCAGAGATACCCCCACCCCAGCCAAGGGAGTGGGAGCTGTCTGATCTCAGTCCAAACTTCCCCCACCCAGAGGGCAGGAGTGTGTAACTCCCACCCTGGCTTCGCCTGTCTGTTACTTATGTCTTCTCTGGAAGTTTATTTATGAGTGTGAGAGCTTTGCCTCCCAGCCTCATCTTGCCTCCACCTACACTCCTCATTTATTTTGCCTCTACAGAGCCAGCTACAAGGGAATGGCAAGAAAACACTAATTTTTCTTGAAGAGTACCTACAGTTGTGAGGGAAGCTCCAGTCCCAATATGAGACACTGCAGGGGTGAGAGTGCTGGCTGGGGGGAAGCTCCCACCAACCCCCAGCAGGTGGGAAGTGGGCAGGCTCATCCAATGGCTGGTGCTACGTGAAACAGTTGCCCCTTCCTTTCTCATTTGGCTTATCAGGTCATTTTGCCTCTTCCGTATTTTCCACCCTGCCCACCCAACCTCGAGGTAGAGAAGTCTGCAGGCTCCATGCCCTTCCAGAAAGTCATTATGGTCTTTTGTACTGCTTTTCATTGCCATCTACTCTCATAGTCTCAAACTATGACTCCCAAAATCCCCTGGGTCCCCCTTTCAGGTGTTCTTTCTGTGGCTTTTGGCATTTGTCATTGTCTCCTAAAGTTCAGAGAAGCACAAATGCCCTCCTTGTATTCTCCTCTTCCCGTTTGCAGGAGGTGCCAGTGCCAGCCCTTCCGGGGGCCTGGCTATGTACACAGTGCACCAGGGCCTGGAAGACAGGACAGAGGCTCACATGTGGTTTCCTTTTTTTTTCCCCTTTGCCTGACCAGTGGTTGCAGCTCTCCCACTGGGATGCAGGGAGCTTGAAGCCTAGCCCTGCCTCAGGGAGGGCTGGGGTTTTACCCTTTTATTGCTGAAGTGACCTGACCCATGATGCAAAAGGGAAATGGTTTTGGTACTTTTGAAATGCAACTTTTTTCTCTTTTTATTAAATTAAAAATCTGCTGCAAACTGTGCCCTCCTGGGGGCAAACACTGGTCTGAATGCATGCGGTGGAAAAGGGCAGTCTCTCCTGTGACCTTGATCTAGGGACTTCAGTCTGGTTTTAGCTGAGCCTCACAAATGCTAATGCTATTTCTACCCCTGAATCTATTGGATTGGTCTGGTTCCTGGGAAGTGCAGTTTAGTCATCTTCCTCCATAGGTGCAGCCCTGCACATGGCCTCTGCTAGCTCTGCCCTTGGCAAGTGGAGTAGGGCTGCTCTAAACCCACTGCCTCCCTGGCATGCTGAGCCTCCTCCACTGTTGCAACAAGGCTGAAGAGGCTTGAGTCTGTCATGGTGTTCTCATGCAAAGCACCCAGCTGGAGGGCTGACTGCATGAGTGGAGATACCTCCCTGCAGCTGGGCCAGGGACCAGCTAACTCACAGAACCAGAAGGCTGGGATGTGCAGAGACAAGAGTTGCTTTGCACCTAGGCTGTCATATTGGGATGCCTTTTTTGTAAGTGCTCTGTTGCATGGTGGTCACCAGCACTCAGGAAGAAGCTAGCAGAGAGGAAAAGTGGGCAATGAGTAGCTGCAGTATAAAGTGACACTTCCACATAATGACAGACTGAATGGGGCAGGCCTGCTTGCTCTGCAGAGAAGATAGGACATAAGTGATCTGGAGAAGGTAGCCTTTGGTTTTCCCCAGTGCCAGGGGCCGGGCAATCAAACTGAAAGGTGGCAAGTCCCACATCTATCAAAGGAAGTATTTTTTTCCCCAGGATGCACTCTTGGCCTGGGGGACTGCTGCTCTAAGACTAGCCAGGCCAAGGTTGTGGGAGGATTTAAAAGGGAATGGGTACTTATGGATAATGCAATCCTTCAGATTTACCATGGTCCTTTAAGAACAAAAGGTTTATAAGCCCTCCTGTATCAGAGCATGTCATCCTACTGCTGGGGGAAAAGGGGTGAGAAGAAATCTACTCCTCCCCCCCCAAACATATTCAGCGGAGGCCATAGTCACAAACTGAATAGTTTTGTACCTTCTGGCATCATACGGTCCCACTGAACAGTGTTTCTTCAGGGGCTTCACCTGGAAGGAGCTGGGTGATGGCAGGCCACTGAGTTGGTGCTAGGCTTGCTGGATAGGAGCAGCTGGGCTGGGTAGGGTGTGTGGGCAGGTTATGGGAGGTGTAGAGATGTGCTAGAGCAGAAAGGTTTAGCTGGAGCTGGAGAAGAACAAGCTGGATCTGAAAGACAAGGTGCTAGAGAGACCCTGAAGAGGGAAACAGATCTGTGGGAGGGGGAAGCTTTTTCACTGGAGCATCAGAAGTGGATTTCAAACTGCAGGCTTGGAAGAGGGACAGTTTTTCATTTGCATTCTCTGTGTGTGTGACGTTTAAGTTAGTACCAGTTTGGGAGTTCCCTATTTTCTGCCTGGTCTTTCAGGGAGAAAAAAAAAAAAAAAAAAGCTTTTAACTGAAGAAGAGAGGACTGGAAAATCTCGCTACATGTTTTATAACTGCTTTTCTAATCAGACTTAAAGAGAAAAAAAAAAAAGAGAGAGAACATGGAGGCTGTCTCAGCCCCCACAACCTCTCTACCCCTGACTGCTGAGAGCAATGCCACCTCTTGAATGCAACCTGCAGTGACTCAGCTTTAATTCAGATGTGTAGTCGGTGGAGAACTGCAAATCCCAGCATGCAGTGCACACTACAAGGACTTAGAGAAGAAGAAAGGTTGGCTGGGTTGCCTTGCATGCTGGGAGCTAAAGCCTCTGTCCCTTTGTATTGAGTGGAGGTTGACTGCAGTTGGCTCTGCCTGGTGCTGGCCTGCAGTCAGCACAGCACTCTCCAGCTGTCCTCAGTGGGCTGCTCGGGTGGAGAATGACACTGCAGCATTATCCAGAGGTGTGGACAGGTCTGCCTGCTGAAGGTGCCCCAGCATGTGTGCAACTGCACTGCAGGTTGAAAATACAGGGAAGGAGAATACCTTGCAAAGCTACTGTCCTGCATAAAATGACTACCTGCAGTACCCACCCTCATCCCAAGTCCCTCAGGGTGACCAACTGTGCCAAGCAGCTGGAAGCTGGGCACTGCCTCACCACTCGAAGCTCAAGGAGCAGAAAGGGAGGCCTAAGCTAGGTGGTATCCTGCAAGCTCCCACACACACCATGGCACTGGAGAGGCACAGAAGCAGGTTGAAGCAGAACCTGCCTACAACACCCCTGAAGCTGAGATCCCAGGACACCCTATGGCAGGGGTAAGCAACCCTCAGCATAGGTAGAAGAATCATAGAAGTAGGATCGGAAGGGACCTTGTAGATCTTCAAGTCCGACCCCCTGCCTGGGCAGGAGGGAAACGGGGCTCAAGTGACCCCAGCCAGGTAGGCATTGAGCTGCTTTCTTGAAGCCCAGCTACAACACCCCTGAAGCTGAGATCCCAGGACACCCTATGGCAGGGGTAAGCAACCCTCAGCATAGGTAGAAGAATCATAGAAGTAGGATCGGAAGGGACCTTGTAGATCTTCAAGTCCGACCCCCTGCCTGGGCAGGAGGGAAACGGGGCTCAAGTGACCCCAGCCAGGTAGGCATTGAGCTGCTTTCTTGAAGCCCAGGAAGGTAGGAGCCAGCACCACTTCCCTTGGAAGTTTGTTCCAGATCCTAGCCGCCCTGTGAAGTAGTTCCTACAGATGTCTAGTCTAAACCTACTCTCCAACAACTTGTGGCCGTTATTCCTTGTTATCCCGGGGGGCGCTAGGGGAAACAAGGTCTCCCCCAAACCCTTCTGGTCCCCCCTAGTGAGTTTATAGATGGTCACAAGGTCCCCCCTCAGCCTTCTCTTGTGAAGGCTGAACAGGTTCAGGTCCTGTAGCCTGTCATTGTAGGGTCTGCCCTGCTGTCCCCAGATCATGCGTGTGGGCCCTCCTCTGGACCCTCAATGTTGTCCACATCCCTCTAAGTGGGGTGACCAGAACTGGACACAGTACTCCAGCTGCGGCCTGACCAGTGTCACGTACAGGGGGAGGATCACCTCGTTGGCCCTACTTGAGATGCACCTGTGGATGCACAATAGGGTCCGGTTAGCCCTGCCGACCGTGACCTAGCATTGTCGGCCCATGTTCATCTTGGAGTCAATAATGACTCCAAGATCCCTTTCTGCCTCCATGCTCTCAAGAAGGGAGTTTCCCATCTTATAAGTGTGCTGCTGGTTACTACTGCCCAAGTGCAGCACCCTGCACTTGTCAGTATTGAAATGCATCCTGTTTTTGTTAGCCCACCCTTGCAACCTATCCAGGTCTTGTTGCAGTCTTTCCCTCCCTGCTAGCGTGCCCACCTCACCCCAAATTTTGGTATCAGCAAATTTGAACAGGTTGCTTTTCACCCCATCGTCCAAATCGCTGATAAAGAAATTGGACAGTACCTGAGCATGGCACGTGAAGGCATTTTGCTTGGCACATGCACCTTGGGGCAGACAGCAGAGGAGGGCTCAGGCTGTGCTGCCACAAGGATTGGGCTCCTCATGGCTCCCCAACCATTGGACCCTGGCACACCAACTTCTTGCAAGTGGAGCTTGTGGGTATTTTTGACACTGCCCAAAAACATTACTGACCCCTGTCCTTGGGGGTCTTGGACAGGGCGGAGTTGCCTGCTGCCCTTGTCTCTTACAGGGCACATGTCCCTGCACTTTACTGCAAGGTCATATACCTACCCTCCCCCTGCCAGCCACTACCCCAGCCCCACCCCACCCCCACAGCTTC